GCTGCAAAGCTGCCTCTCTGACAGTCAATCTCACTCATCTGAGACTCAGCACCTGTGTCTTACCTTAATACCTTTCTAGTTATAATGCACCACTAGAAGTAGTGTTATCATTCTTCTACCTCCTATTAAGTGAGATCTCATTGTACGATGTATTTCTAATATGAACTGCTTCACATGAAACACTTACTGTACATACTATTCTCACCAAACTGTGATAACTGTGATTAAATTCAGTGTAAACAAATGCCATATGTTGCCACCCCTCAAAAATTCCTGCCCTCCTCTCGCCACCCCATAAATATTTTTCTAGATCCGCCCCTGGTCTTAACCCCTGTATGGGGTAAAGTCTCCTAGCAGTCTTCAGGTATTCAAGCTTCTTATGATCAGTCGACACCAAGAATGGATATTTGGAACCCTCCAACCAATGTCTCCATTCTTCCAGGGCTAGCTTAACTGTCTTCAGTGCCCAATCCCCCACACCATAGTTCCTCTTTGGATGGAAGTGGATGCATCTACTTCCAGGATAAACCGTCTCTCCGGATCGGGGAACACAGAACAGGTGCTGATAAGGGTTGGGAATTGATAAGTTTTTTACGATTCCGATTCCCTTGTCGATTCTGTGAAAAAATTTGATTCCTTATTGATTCTCTTATTGATTCTGTGAAACAATGAACTTGGTAAGTGCACGGTGAACCACATTAAGCACAGACAGTAATATAAAAATAGCTACTTACCACCAGAGTTTCCTTCTATGCTGGTCGCAACTTTAGCTTCTGTCCGGAAGCATCAAAAACACGGCATTCATTAAAATTTTCAAATCTATGTGTAACCCAGAACAATAAGGACCTGAGGTGATTCAATTATCATAAAATATAATTTTCACAATGGTTATCCCCTAACACAAGCTGAACAGGTTCAGCAACAAGGGAAGAAGGATATATCTGATGGCCATCTAAGGCAATAACCTTGCAGGAATTTGTCGAAGGGAGAAGTCTTATCCCCAGTCATCTAGCAAGCCCTTCATCCATGAATTCGGTATCAACACCTGAGTCCACAAATGCAGACAGGTTGTGATTCCTGGTGTTAACCAACAGTCACCGGGAACAGGAGATATGGGGAGACAGGTTCAGCTGATGATGTCAGTTCCTGTACTCCTTGGCAAGCGTATGTGCACCAGCTGCATCAATGTGGGATCTGGTGTTGGGGCTGGATCAGGAACCACCACAGAGGGAGCGGGGCAAGTAGCAGTTCGAAGGCTCACTGACATCAGAGCTCTCCATTCTCTGCGACGTTCTGTGAGACATAGATCTATCCAGGTGGCTACGTCCTCCAGTTGCTGGTCCTCCAGTGACTTCAGGGTCTGAGGTTGGTTGTAAAAAAAAAAAAGTTCATCCTTAACCATTTCATTAAGTCCAGTAGTTAAAATGCCCATGAGGGCATCCTCATTCCAGGTACTCTCTGAAGATAATAGGTTGAAGTTGATAATATACTGTACTTCGCCATGATCATTTTAAAAAAAAAAGTCCCTTTGAAGCTTCTTTACTGCGAAGAACTAGGCAAAACACTCAGATCAATTCTTGAGAAAATGCTCTGTAGGAATGACAGAGACTAGGATTGTTTTGCTATTATGAGGTTCCCCAGAGCATAGCCTTGCCTGCTAATAAAGAGATAATGTAAGCTACCTTCGAACGCTCAGTGGGATAACCAGATGGTTGGAGTTTGAAGTGGATCTCACTCTGAGTGAGAAAAGTGACAGATTGTTCACATCACATGATATCCCTGGTCACATGTATGTTTACTGTGTGCTCCTGTTATACAAGTAGGTATCTGTAAATGTGTCAGAGAAGCTTTGAAGTTTCTGAGTCTGACAAGTACAGAATTTTACTCAGCAATATAGAGATTGACTATCAGAAAATCAACATGTCTGGGCTTTTCTATAGTCAACTTTACATAAATTTGCCTCCTCTCACCCATCACATCTGTCTCATTGTCAGTTTTAAATCTCTTTTTTCTTTCAATATCCCCACCTCCCACCTGCAGCTTTCTCTCTTTCTCTCCCTCTGCCCTTTTATTCCCTCATTCTCTCCCTCCCCCTCTTTATTCCTCCTCCTGCTGTGTTTTCTCCTCTGTCTTATTCCCCCTCTTGCTTTCACACTCATGCAGCATCCTCCCCTCACCTCTTCTACCTTCACACTCACCTCCTCGAGCCTCTGTCTGTCTGCCACCCTCCTCTCCATCACCTACTAACACACATCATTTCTCGCCTCTTTCTCGAGTCGCGTCTTGTCTCTCCCTCCTCCTCCTCCTCCTCCTCCTCCTCCTCCTCCATCTTCTGCCGGTTTTCCCTCCTTTTCACCACAATCTGCACCCACTGTCCACACACTCATGCTCATTGGTACCCAAGGACAGAACAGCTTTTCTTCTGAACTGGCGATGGTTTGATCCTTTTGGCCAGACTTCTTGACACTGAGCTCAGCTGAGGAAGAGGACAAGGACAGAAAGAAGGCATGGAGCACAGCCACATCTTCCCGGTGTCCCACCACAATGGGACCACTGGGGGATGCCCTCTCGGACCCCTGCCCGTCATTTACTACAGCATCCTGCTCTGTCTCGGCCTGCCTGGTAAGAAAGTCATTGTGCAACCTGCATCTGGTTCTGGTGTCTGCATAGCTGCTGTCTCCCACAGTTACGCTTTGCATTTCGATTTGTTGTGCACTTGTTTGCAGGACTGAGTAGGACTGCTGTGTGCCGCTGCACACACTGTTGATTTGTCACTCTGACCTTGTGGCTATCACGCATGCATATATTTTCAGTGTATTTGTTTCTACTTGTATCTCTCAGTATTCCAACCCCTTAAAAAGATTAAAATCAGCAACATATGGAAAAAAAATGCTTTATGTTTTGGGGTTTTTTTTGTAAACGTCTTAGGCATTAAGATTAGATGTAAAATTGGCATAGGTAGCTGCATGTAAAGTTGTATAAGTAATCTTACTGGCTTGACCTCTAGAACAGGTGTGTGCTGCATGGCATTTTCTCTAGTGTCCCAATTCGATAACACCTATGTCCTCAATATTGAATGATTAGTCCATTCACCATCACTGTCAGACTCATTTACTGCCTCTGTCCCACTGCGTGATCCATGAGCAATAACCCGATCTCATAGAGGGAGGCAAAGTGGTGTCTGTGTACGTGTGAAACAGAGAGGCAGGGAGAGGAAGACATAGATGAAAAAATAAAATAAAGTGGAGGTCAGGAAAAGGATGAAATTTGCTACAGTCTGATCAAAGATTAAACTTCAGATATCCAAAGCCCTCAAAATAGTTAAATCACCAAAATGTGAGGGATTTAAAATTAAAAGAAAACTTATTTACTAAGTGCTCACAGATGCTCAATTTTCACACCTCAAGCATAAGCTTGTGTATGTTTTTAGGAAGCTAGTGTGATCAACCAAAACAAAATTGTTGTATAACTGTCATGTCTGAGGGAGAGGTTTACTTTCTAATAGAACAACAAAGCACATACAGCTAAAGGAAGACAATAAAAAAACTGTTACTTTGGACTTGTTATAGATCAAATACACAAGTCAAAATACAGGCCTAAATCTTATAAATCTACATCATCATAATCTCTCTAACTCCAACTTCTTCAGATATGTTCAAGAAAAGAAAATCCCAGTCATAATGCACATAGCTAATTGAGACATACCTTAATATACTTGTAGCTGTGAGTGTAAATTAATATGAATATTAAAGATCTTGACTCAAATTTTCCATCAATTCTCAAAAATGAACCTCCTTCCTGATGAACCACTGTCTGTGTTATACAAAAAAGTAATTCAATGCATTTCTTGTTAAAATGTCAAAAAATATTAACAATTTAAGTTTGACTACTTCAGCAAGGCACTGGACTTACCCACTATTTACAACTTTATGGAATACATTTTAGTGTCTTTCTAAAGCGGTGTGTCGAGGATGAACAAATATGTCTTAGATCAATTTCTTTCCCTTGATAAGAGTAGAATTTAGACTCTATCACCAACAAAAGCTGTTCTGATTGGAAGCAATGCAAAGTGCAGCCTTTTGTGAGCCAAGACTGCAGCTGTCCCAGAGATTTGCTGTCTAGTAAAAATAAGTGTTTCTGTGCAGTTCCTGACTAATTATAAAAGTCTGACACAAGCGAATTTCCTTGCTGTCATTCCTTTGATTCTGCTGCTGAGTAGTCTATACAAATGAGATGCAGGCTGTTTATTTAGTCACCTGGTAAAAGTAACCAGGGGAGAGTGAGGCAGCACAACAATAGGGCGCCTCTATTGATGGAAGTTAAGCAAAGCTAGCTCATACTTTGCAGCAGGGAGTTGTTCAATCATTATGACACAGCTCATTCCACTCAGGCGGAACCATGAATGTTTTATAGGAGCAGAATGTATGAGTAGCAGCAGCATGACCTACAAACACACATGCAATAAAAACCTCTTGATAGACAGGAAGCTACATATGAGGTGGGTTATTCATCAGTTAGCAGCCATTACTCATACAGCCAAACATTGACTCATACATGCATGATGTGAGGTAAAGAGGGGTCATATTAATGGATATTTGAGAGATGAAGGTGACAAGATGACTATAATGCATGTCAAGTCATGAATAATGATTAAGTTGGACCTAATGATAAAATGGAAAATGCAAAAATTTAAATGAAAATATCATGCCTGAAAAAAGCAAATAAAAGGGCGCAAAGAAGAACATTGCTGTTAGAAGAGGTATAAAAGTGCTAATAGGCAGAGAGATCCAGCAAAAGTAGCACCTCAGAGCACTGAGTGAAGCTGCCAGAGATGACAGAGCTGAAACTAATTGCCACGTTTTTAATTAATTGCTAACTTGAGCCTGCTGTTTCTGTCTCTACATGCCATGCCATGCGGCTGGAGAAAACAGAGACATGTGCATCTAGGGCAAATGGCAGAACAAAGAAGCTGTTGACATGCTGGGACCCTAGATGTGAGCCCTTCTCTTTGGGTTGTACACTGAGTCTTCTGGAATCTTAATGGATCAAGGAAGTTTTATGTGACAGAAAGTCTACTTTACTTGCCTAAGAAACTCTTTAAAATGGCAAAAGGTGTGAAATGTTCCGACTTAGGAAAGGCGGATATGATCTGCTTTAATAAGCCAAAAAATGGCAGATAATAAACAGGATTAGGAGGTAAGATTATCTTTTCACCTATGTACTGGTAAAGATCGTAAAGGTAGTAAAAACATGTGGAATCCACTGGAATGAAATATAGATTTTTTTGACGCTTTCGGACTTCTCCCTAATACATGGAGAGACTATTGCGTAATGGTTCCTTCAGAGATACCTTAATTACAATTTACTAATTGTATATACACAACACACACACACATCTATCTATCTATCTATCTATCTATCTATCTATCTATCTATCTATCTATCTATCTATCTATCTATCTATCTATCTATCTATCTATC